CATTATTTGCATTGATTTGTTATTTGATATTTTGTTCATCACACTTTGTTTCTTTTAATAAATAATTCCTCGCCAAGTAAATGAATTATTGAAAGAAAATAAGTTTACTTAAATTCAATATACATACCATTTATTCATGATATCACATATTTATAGTGCTTAAATATCTTATATTTATACTACTTTGCCATTTTTAAAAGTAGTTTTTGTTGAGATGTATATATATTATTTGTTTATCTATGATATAAAGTAGTGGTTCCCTACCGGTGGGAAATTTAGACGGGGGAGATATTAATATATTATAGTGATGATGAATTAATAATGATTCATTTGTTGTAAAATTTAAAACAACAAATTAATTTTACTTAGGTATAGTATTTTATTACAATTTATAATATTTAATATACATTTTTATAAAATTGTAGGTATTCAAAAATATATTATTAATTATTAAGTCGACTTGTATTTTATTTTCAAAATGATGAAAGAAAATAAGTCATTAGTTGAATCATATATTTAATAGTAATTTTGTATCACTATCGTCTAAACTCTAATAGAAAGGGTCGTGAAATTTTTGAATATTTATAAGGGGGGTGTAGTATAAAAAAGTTTGGGAACCACTGATATAAAGGGTCATAACTTGTTTATATTAGTAACGTTAATAGAATATTGTATTCCATTAAAAATATAAAAATATATCCCTTACAGGTACCCAGGTATAATGTGTTTCTTCGATCAAAGATCTTGTAGTACAAAGTGTCGTTGTTCTATAATTTACATTATTAATTATCTAACCAGTGGCCCAACTCTCAGGAGTGTTGGGTGTGCAATTACAAGGGCCCCGAGATGTCATAATATAAGATATTTCTGTTATAATCTGCAATATACATATTATAATATAATTTTGTTAAATATAATAACAGTGAACAATAACGTCTTTACTCCTTCGAGTTTAGATAATTCGAATTACGGGTGCCTATGTCAGATAAATGAGTAAAATTATATACCTATAACTAATAATAAATTATTAACCGTGGCATGTGAGAAAATAATATTTTTCATAGTTATATAATAAGGTATGACTGTTTTTCATTTTTATTAGAACTGTGGACATTCTCATATATTCGCCCCTTATTATCATTAGTAGTGCCACTGTATATAAAACCGTAAGAATTACCATAATTTTAACATGTTGAAACAGGAGTTTATGATTTACACCAAAATAAAGATAACCACTGCAAGTAGTCAAAAATAGTGTTTGTAATTTGCACCAAAACGAGTATCAATATAATATTCGATTTTCAAGTGCCTATCTGACTACTCGTTGGTATTCTCGTGAGTCGTGACCCACGGTTTTATAAAATACAATTTAGCAGCCAAATACTATAACATCGTTTTTTTTTTTTTTTTTATCAATAGGTTATTTATGTTTAAAATATTCTGATTCTAAAGAATCATTTAATTTTAATTTAATGATATTATAAAATCGTGTTATATAGCTGTTTTTGTAAAACATCTACCTTATTTGATTTAATTCTTTTTTTCTAACGCTTTGTTTATCACCACAGAACCAAATACAATTTTAAAATAACCGCTAAACAAATGAAAATGTATGAATCTAATGTTGAATTATATAAAATAATTTATTAAACGTACCTACTAATTTCTATATACAAATATATACATTGCTACGTATATAATTACTAATTGTTACAATGATCCTCCTCACAGAATCGTTTTTTATCGAATGCAATCATTGAATTCAAATCGAATACACAATCCTGTCCGAGGACTGAAGAGACGATCCATCAAGACTCACATACACCACCACGCTGCACGTACCCTCTTTTTTATATTTATTATATTGTCCTAAATGTATATAAGTAATAATCACAGATACAGTTTTTATTATTATAATTTTTTCTTTTATTAGTATGTTAAGTACATGTTGTCATGTCATCAGCAGATTAAGTATTTTTATTGTTTTTGAATTTTCAAACAATTATACTTAAATTATAGGTTAGACTGAAATATAGGTGGTGAAATAACCACTCGGAATCTATAAACGGAATATTCAGTGTCTTTTGCTTCTCATATCTCAATATTATAGGCACTATCGAAAGAACAATCGATTAGAATTTTGTAGGAAATTATAATTCCTATTCCTATTACTATCTTAATAATGTTGTAAATTATATATCTTTATTTTGGTGACGATTAAAAGCGCAGTTCAACATTTTTGGTGAAAGTTACATAATATGTTGTAGATGTTTACTTAGACTCAATTTCGGTGCAAATTGACCACACCTGTTGGAACGTACATGGGAAGTATCTATGGGTATAAGTATCTATTACTTGCTTACTCTTATATGTTAAATTGAATTTACCCGCAGACTAAATATAAGCGTTCGGCATAGGTCCCGAAACTTTTATCAGCATAGGTATTTCAAATATTGATTCATATTATAGTACTTATACAAAGTTATTTTAGTTATAACTTATAAGTATTTAAAATAAACTAAATGCTATAAATCTGAAGCTTCGTCAAATCAAGTCTACTTCGACCCCATCAACACCTATTTTATAAATGCACGTGACCACTTACGTCTATTGATATTTTCAAATGAATGGTAGAAAATATGGCAACAATCAAATTAATATTTCTTTTTAAATTGTATAAAAAGTGATTTATTATATTATTATTTATTTATTATATTTATTATATAATGAAGAAAATATTTATTTTAATAAAATAAAAATAATTATAAAAATTACCAACACCCAAAATACTTTTTTAGATTAAAAAATGAATAGTCATAATAATAATAATACTTACTTAAAAATATGTTTATATAATACTACATAAAAACTATTGAAATTAATTAATAATCGTTGAGCTTAGTAAAACACTGAATTTGAATAGTTTAAAAGTTTTAATGATCTTGATCGTGACCATCATGTGAATGATGGTGGTCGTGATGTGCGTGTTCATTTAATGTATGTTCGAAATGCTGAAAGTTGTCATCTGTGCCGTGGCTATGGCTGTGGTTATGACCTGAAAAGTTATATAATTATTAATTAATATAAAAATACATAATGTGTTCACCATCCCAAAAAGTGTCAATGAAAAAGAATTCATATTGTCCTTCGTTAAATAATGTATCGACAGGGGGCCTCTCCCCCAATTGACCTATCATCCAGTTTAATAAATAGGGCCGTTTTTAAATATTTTTGTCTTAAAACTTTAAAAAAGAATATGCCCACCCACACATATATTTAATGTCAGACCCAACTACAAAAATCAACGACCACCACGGCAATTCAATGACTTCAGCCCATTAGAGTAAAAAGATTCTATGTTTTTTTTCCAAAATAGTGAAAATCCCCTTTTCAAATATTTAATTTGATTTCAATAGTTTTCAATGCCGCATGTCTTAAGCTAGAAATTAGTTTGATACGAGTAATAATGAAAGAGATACACAAAGCAAAAAGGTTCTATGTCATTGAAATTTATATATTCGTTATTTTTGAATGTATTAGATAGAACCTTTTTACTCCATAACTTTTTTTAAGAATAAAAAGGTTCTATATTGTTAACAAAAACATTATTAACAGTAAAAGAGTCCTATCACTACCAAAAACATAATAATATCAATATGTCGATAAGATAATTATTGTGTCTTGGTCAAAGCAAGTGTTTCCCATCCATATAAGATTATACATACAATTAACATAGTTAATTTTAAAACATTACATGGTGCAGATAATTTTCTTCAAATTACCTTGTGTTCTAACTCGACTCCAAATTCTATTCAATCTCTAAAAGATAATATAAACTTAGCTATATCAACTAAAAATAATGCAAAAATAACTAAAGAAAAACATTCAAGATATAGATTATTTTTACAAATGTATGACCGATGATGAACATACATTTTATACTAATCTGTTTCACAGATAAAAAGAAACTTTAAAATAAAAAATAATACACACAAATTATTCTTAGCAATACGTCACTGGGTATCTTATAAGTTAAAAAAAAAAAAAATGTTTTTAATATTTTGTTTCTATACCTATATATCATATTATCAATTTACTCAATCCATACAACAACAAAGATATTTTGTCTCTGCAGTTCAGAGTTTAACCTCGCTAGAAAAGTTAAGAAATTTGTAATATCAAGTAATTTGATTTAATTTAAAAATAAATAATGGCTAATTAGTTTCTTAAAATCGTTATAAATTGTTTATAATTATTTGTACTTGATGAAGTGCGATAATTTAGTACAAATAATTTAACTTTAAGATTATTATATAATATGTTAATATTGTACAAATATTGTACAAATATAAAATTGTAATGTATATTTTTATGTCATAATTATAATATGTTTAGTTGTTGTCGTAAATATGAGTAAGCCGCAAATCGAAGTTAAATTATTTGTATTAAATTATCGCACTTCGTCGAGTACAAACAATTATATTATAAATAATTAGCGAACTTTTTACACGTAGTTGACGGAGTGTGTTTGTTGAGTAAATATAATACAATTATGATTGATGATACGTGTTGCATAAACATTTACTTTTTATTATTTTGAACCATATTACTGACCATTTATAAACTAAAAGTGAACTCTAAGTTTTCATATAACTTTGAACTTCACTTAGTTAAAAAAAAAGTTATTATAACTTAAATTAATTCAATTAAAAATTATCATTAACATGTCCTGGCTTGTATTATACATGACTTTATACATGCACATCGTTATCTATAATGTTGACTAAAAAGTCGATATTATTTTCTACTGCTGTTAGATCAGGGCCTACATTACATTAGATAGTACATTAGATAGATACATTACATAGTATTATTAAGCAGCACGAGATTTTTTATTACAAATAATTAATAATTCTAGTTCCTTGTTTTACGTATTTAAAAAACCGTTTAAGTACTCACTTATCATCTGCAGCGCCAGCATAACTGAGAATCCAAAGATTATGGACACGAGGTTCGAGAATCCTTACTGTTTGTGTTGGGCGAGCACCTCGAAGAACACGACATACAAGAGAGTGCCGGCGGCCAGCCCATGGAGAACGACAGCCAACAGTCCAGAAGACACATCCAAAGAACCATCATCGCCGAAGTGTACGAGATGCCGGATTCCCACTGGCATCAGTGGCTATGTAAGTGACGAGAATGGCCCTCTTGGTATCCGACCAGGTCAGTTCCAAGCCGATGCAAAAGGCGATAATTAGCTTGTGCGTGGCTACGGCAAAGAACAGGTACCACGTGTGGTCGACGTGCTCTTAAAACCTATTGGCCAGGCCTTCAAACACCTCGTGAAACGATAGTGCCATAACGGCAAACAGGCCTCGAAAGAACTGTCCAGCTGGTCTTCTTACGTTCCTCGAAGCCTGTCTTTCCGCATCAGCAATGTCACACCTAACCTGCCGTCGTTCAGATCCTGGCCTGCTGGGAGGTGCAATTTCCTGGAAAATTGGCCGGTACCGTTCCTCACTTGACTCGTTTAGGTGTTCCTTGACAGTGGAAGTGGCCAGTGGTTCAGTAGGTTTCTGCAAAGTGGGTGGTCTCGACGATGGAGTACGCTGCCTCAGGCTCGTCAATCGATGCAGTACCTCCTCGCTAGGTTCGATGTCCTCGTACCAGCTGTCCAGCACGGTGTGCACTACTTGGTCGATAATAAATACAAAAAAGAACCAGGTGCAGAAAATTAGGACTCCCAGGTTCTCAAAGCCGTGGCCGTCAAACAGCTGACCGTCGTGTTGGAGACGGGTGATAGCCTCCCGGGTTTCTGGCTGCAGGTGTAAGAGCGTGGTGAATATCAACACTTCGCCACCGAAAAACAACTGCCATGCGACTAGTGGTGACGAATCGTTGGCCGAGTCTCCGGGGTGTGAGTGGCCGGGGTGCGAGTGGACGCCAGTTTTTCGCGGTGGTCCCCGTTCGGGTATCACGACGGCGACGGCGGATTACCAGTTAGTTTATCAATTTTCAGCAATCGTCCACGTCAGAACGGTTTGGATGAAATTACTTAATAATATGCTATTTTTAGTTTATACAATTAAGATTACGCCACACCCACATGCCACATGTGTTGTCTCCGTCTTACAAACACACCAAATTTAATCTCAGAAATTCACGTTTTATGCCGATAGCTTAAAAATTAGAGTGAATCGATCTATTATGAAACTTAATGGTAAGAACATTATCTGTATTTTATTAGTTTTTTTACGATAATTCAGTTTTTAAGTGAGTTATGTGTGTATAATGAATGTAAATTAAAAATGCTCATAATTCACTCAAAAACTGAATTATCGTAAAAAAAACCTTCCAACAAGACACAGATACTATCTTTTTTAATAATTTTGATTTACATAATACAAATCTAACAAGTAAATATATTATTAAAGATCTAGGAGTTTCATTTGACACTAAATTATCTTTTAGCAATCATGTAGATTTAATTCGTAATAAAGTTTTTATGAAGCTGGGATTATTTAAACGTATGTTTAGTGATTTCAACGATAGTTCAGCTTTAAAAATATTATATTATTCTCTAGTACGCTCTCATATAGACTATGCCTCCTTAATCTGGCACTCAGATAGTATTTGTCAAAACTATTGTCTATACTCTATCTAGTATACAAACTAATTTTTTGAGATATTTATCTATTAAATGTCATTTTGAAAGATGTCTTCATTCAGGGTTCAATTTCTTTTTAAACTACTACATAATTTTGTTGATTTCCCACAACGTATTAATTTCAAAGTAAATGTAAATAATTCAAGAAATAAACATCCTTTTTATTTATAAATTGTTATAACCACATGTCTTACTACGTTCCTGCTATTGTATTATATCATGTGGAAACTTTTTCAATAACTATGGACCTGTTCATATTGACTCTTAGTTCTCTAAATTGCTATTTTTAGAGTATAACATAACTATTAAGTTTAATTAAGTCAAAAGTGTTGTTTAATAAATTGGCCAATTTTTAATTTCTAACAAGTATATGTATATTATATGTGAATGGGAATTTGTTAAAAGGGACCCAAGTTACATTTTTGACAAAAAGTGTTTCGTTGTATATTATTCATAGTCTTATGTAAACACATATTATATGCTTATAATTTGTAAATCAAAGACTGATTCAATAGAATTAGGTACATACGTTTTTCTTTTTTTTTTAATTTTAATAAAAAAATATTGTTTTTTAAGATTGTTATTCATTTGAGTAGTATGATTTAGATGGTTCTAGTCCACACTAGTCCCTAGTCCCTAGTCCATGCGAGTCAATGCCGTGCGCTGCCATTCCCCCTCCATGCCATGCCCGAACATGCCCGGCCATGCCCAACCATCCCCCCCCCCCTCATTAATGTCTATACCCTAAAAATTAAATAAATTCAAATAATTTAATTTAATATTATACTAGTATTCAAAACAATATATTATTGTTCTAACAACCTAGTTAGTTGTTTAATAATACATGAACACAGTTTGTGATAAGTTAGCGACTTATAATAATAAACATAAAACTATTAATGATTTCCCAATACCATACATCTAAGTGAAAGTGTAAATGTATAGTATACATATCGCTACACGATATGACATTATCAAAACATAGTTCACACATAGTTGTTAACGAGTCGTTATTATATACATATAACATTGTATACTTCACACTTATGGTGAAATATTTTAGTTTTCCTAAGACCATCAACTTAACGTTTAGAAAGTTAGTATGTACAAAATCTAATTGCTTAGCTATTATTTCAACAATTTAAATGTATCCTAAAATAATTGAAAATATTATCTGCATTAATCTTTTAACATGGTAAATGAGTAGATAATATTTTACCAATCCATGGCTTAAAATGTTACCACTACTAAAATATCCTACACCTCCCCTCCTCCCATCTATCACATGGATATCTATCCCACCTAACATCACGTATGTAACCGACTAGATCCACCCCCTCCCATCTATCATAAGTAAATCCGATGAATCTGACTACCTCGTCCAACCTATAGTTCTATGCTATCTCATACGTGCTCGACTATGATCGACAATGCCTGGCAATACCCGTCAATACCCTACCCCTCCCATTCATATCCATATGATCCTACACCATAAGTGATATATATAATATTATATATTAACCTCATCACACGCCTACTATGATGTCTAGTCCTCTCATCCTAACCTTTCCATACACCTGCTATCAAGTACGTACACAACCATATACATCATACCATACCATACACTTCCACATCCATCAATACCTAATGCGTGTCACACTATTCCCCCTACCTACCATCAATACCTAGTACTTACCACACCATACCCTGACATCAATATATATCACTAAAAAAATAGTCATCATATAATATACCTCCATCACCTACACCTTGAAAATTATACTTAAATAATAAATCGAATACCTCCAAGCATACATACATTGATAGTCACATAAATAATAAATAATATTATATTAATCAATTATAATAAATAAAATGCTAATACACCTCTATTACCCTTACCTTTAAAATTATACTTAAATCTACTATACCAGTATACCATATTTCTAAGCATACATCAGAAGTATGAAAATCTCACGAAACCAGACTACTCCGTCAAGACTGTTCCTACTCCCTAGTCTATGAGAGTCAATACCGTGCGTGACCATACACATCATCATCTCATACCATACCCTTCCCCTACCATCAATACCTAGTGCATACCAACCCCATACCCCTCCCTCCCATCAATGTCTAACATATACCACACCATAACCCTCCATAGGTTAGGTTATAGAGTACTAGTCCTTAATCAGCCTAGTCCATCCACACACCTACTATCACGTATGTGCGAGACCATATACTTCATACTACACCATACTTCACTACAATCAATGTTTAGTATATACCTCTGAATTAGTAAATTAAATAATATAATACTATTTATGACATACAATTATTACAATTGATATATATTAGGAAAGAATTTCTATACATTATATCATATTTATATAAACACTATATTATACTATACCTACTGTATTATCAATACCTAACACATATCACACCTTACCCCCACCTACCATCAATGTCTATCACTAAAAATGTATATATTATATAATTCTCAACATAATGACAGGTAACTTTATAGTTATCTAAGACATTATTATATGAGGTATGTTTAACATTTCACATACATATATGATATATATATATATATATATATATTATATTATTATAGTTTTAAAATATAAAATAATAACAATATTATAAACATGATAAATGATTAACTAATAGTCTGTTTAGCAAGAACATTCTTATTTCTTAATTTAACGAATCGTTAAATTATATATCAATACATTGATATTATATAATATGTAAGCCATATAAATAAGTAATTATTAACGATACCTCATCATCTTTAATCGATGTGAAATACGAAAGTCTATGTGTATAACTTATATTTAATAAATATTAACACTATAACGATTTTTTAACAAAAAAATGTTATACCTCCAGAGAAAATCGAACTCCCAACCCCTAGTTTACAAGACCAGTGCTCTAACCACTGAACTATGGAGGTCATATTATATCTATAACTGAGTAAATTGTTATCTCCATTACTCACACCTTAAGAATTATACTTCAAACTACTATACTGATATATCATACTTCGATTATCTTCTTCCGATAGTAATATTTAACTAAGTGTAAAATTCTATCTAATTATCAGACATATATATTATTACGCTTTAATATATTATATACAAACACCAACGACTATATACGATATTACTAAATTTGAAAGTGTTTCACTTTTAATTAACCTTTAATATCTGTAGGAAAACAACCACTGATAACCACTGATAATATTATAAACGATTAAATCTAATTTAAATGATATTTCGATATATCGTCTTTCAATGTAATGATTATACACAAAGTGTATGATATTATTATATCAATGTAAATAATAAAAATTTTAAAAATGTCTATTGTTATATAGTAGTATTATTATTTTTCTTTTTAATTATATATATTACATACAGTTAGGGTTGTAAATTTGAAATATTTCGCTTGAAATATTTCAATTGAAATATTTCAAAATTGAAAATTTCACTCTTCTTGAAATATTTCAATGAAATTATGAAAAATATTTTTTTTTCTTTTAAACGTGTTTATAGGTGATTAGAAATAATATATTGATACAAC